TTAATATTTCAAAAGTGCTTCAACGATTCCACGTTTTTTTATGTATTTTCAACGGATTTACTTACAGGAGATGCAAATGAATAACAGCCTATTCTATTGTAGGCCTGTAAAGAAGGACGATATAACAATAAAAAGTGTAAATGAAAATATTTAAAACATTCAACTAAAAATAGATGTAAAGGTATTTAAAACATTCATCGTCAGCAGTAGCCTTAGCTTCAGAAAAAGTTAGTTTACAGAGTAGTATCGGATAAAGAATTTGTTTTGTTTTTGCGTGTGTGTGTTTAATAAAAATAATTAAAATTTTTATCTCCCGTCTGAACGGAATTTTATTCGAGATTTAATTTGTAGCGCCATCTGTCTTTGTCAACATTTGAATACGCGTTACCTGTCTACTCGATCCGCTTGACGTTGATAAGCTTTTTTTTAAGCATAATAGGAGGTTCTTTCGAAATAAAAATAATGAAATGTATATGATTTATAACAAATAGAAATAAATTGGAGGTAAAAAAATAACGAACCATAAAAAATATTTACGTGTTTAAAATTGTGGTGTCTGATAAGTTACTTTATTTGGAAGTTTCGATGTTACCTAAGAAACTTCTAGGCCGATATTTGAAAATCTACTGAGTAACATAAGCTCACTTCACGCAAACAGTATTTTGACCAGACGTTATAAATGATACGTGAGTAACCTAAAATAGTATCTTGTAGCACAGACTTTTTTTTTTAACATGCTGTAAGTTGGCTGCATCATATATTGTTTTTGAATTTTATAAGTACATTTAACTCTTCAATTATCTAATGTTTGATATCTACGCTAAACTATTAACATACACACCCATTTTCCAGGAAAATATAATGTGTAATGTGGACGGACAAGACAATATATAGGCCTAGGAATGTTTGTGTTTAGAATAGTTTAAGTGTCAATGTGAAAGCTTTAAAAGTCTGACAATATTAATTCAAATGATGTTTTCTGGCTTTTTAAATCTGGATGAAACTGATATTGTTCAATCCATTTTCGAGGTGACGGTACCTAAACGAAACTGCAAGAATATGTTAATAGTTGTAATCGAACACTATGCGTGATTTTAGTGAAGAAAAAAAATTCCCGGGTCAAATTTCCATATCTTAAGTTACCTAAATTGAACATCCGAGATAAATTTGAAACGTTAGTAGAACAACAAATATAAAATAATTAATCAAGTATTTGCAAGGAAGATCTGAAATTTACTTTTCGTTGAAAAGGAGAGAGGAAATTGCGCATGCGCCGAAAAATTTAGTAGATAAATTGAGGGTATTTTAATAGCAAAAAATAAAAAATAAAATAAAATTAGGATAAACGACAGGCCTTGACAAATAATATTACCTATTAGAAATTGCGATGATCATTGTTTCTAATTTTAAACAAAACGCAACGATTGTTAATACATTATTGTTCTTTGGTGAATAAAATGTTTTTGTTTTTTTTTAATTAAAGTTTTGTCATATTATACTCCCATTTATTTTAGAAAAAAATTGTGTGGAAATTTATCGTATTTTGTATCAATTTATCATATTTAGAAATGGGTAAAGTTTTGTTTATTTGTTGTTAGGCAGAAAGCTACGCAATGAGCTATCTTCTGTGTCTTGGAGACTTGTGGTTCTGCAAGCATGTATATACATACTTTTACATTCCAGTAAAATTTTGTTTATTTTACAAGCGTGTTTATTGGCTGAATTCAAATAACTGCGCTGATGCCGTTACAGGCACTCCCTCCCCCTCACCCCTACATCGATCCTTCAAATTTCCAGAGGGTGTGGAGTTAGTGCCCCCGAAATTTTGGAGATGCTCTTTCCCCAAAGAGCACGCATCGCGATCAGATCAGAACTGTGGTTTACAGTTCAGTTAGACCTTAGAAATTCTGGTCACAGATCAGGGCCGTGGTTTACAGTTGTATTAGACCTTAGAAATTCTGGTTACAGATCAGGACTTTGATTTACAGTTGTGTTAGGCTTTAGAAATTCTGGTTACAGATCAGGACTTTGATTTACAGTTGTGTTAGGCCTTAGAAATTCTGGTTAGTACAAAACCTGTTTACCTATTGAATCTTCGTATATGAATATGAAGTTCATAAAGTTATTAATAAAACCCTCGGAGTGAAAGTAAAGAAGTGTGTCTGATAATATGTCAACCACGCTACATCTGCTACATCCGGTGACCACGAGACCTTTCTTTTAATATTAGGACGCTTCAGGCCTGGTAGGATACGATAAACACAGTTACCAGAACACGTCAGAATTAGGGTTAGGGATTTTAACATTATATTATCGTTTTATTTTAACACCATATATTATTAATTATTATTTTCTTTGAATTAGCCCGCTGTTTACTGTTCAGAAAAATTAGCGAACAAGCAAGCTACTATTCTTGATCCCGGGAGCGGGTAAAAAAAAACTATATTTAGTGATTAATAATGGAAATAAGCGTCGTTATAACATCAAAATGTTGTTTTCATTTAATTAAACACTCAACGTTTCGCTTTACAGCTTCTTCAGGAAAGTTCACTAAAACACTAACCGAAACTGACAGTACAGAGCTTCAAATGATTTAAATAATAATTTATATTCGAATCTATAACGTGCGTTTGTACAGCGTGCCTTGGACATATTGAGTAGTAAAGACAATTCAACAATGAGATTTACTACTTAATATGTCCAAAGCACGTTGTACGAATGCACGTTATAGATTCGAATATAAATTATTATTTAAATCATTTGAAGTTCTGTACTGTCAGTTTCCGTTAGCGTTTTAATGAACGCTCCTGAAGAAGCTGTAAAGCGAAACGTTGAGTGTTCAATTAAATAAAAACAACATCTTGGTGTTATAAGGTCGTTTATTTCTAGTATTAATATGTCTTTCTATACATCAGTATGCACTGCAAACATTTAATATATTTAGTGATTATTAAAAAAGAAGTTTTAAGTGGAAGTGAAGAAGAGGCAGCGTATAATGAAATATCAACCACACATTCAGTTTAGCCAGTTTTATTGGTGTAAATCACACAATACTACAACAAAGTGTTTGTTGTAACGCAAAAGGAATACTCCAAATTAGTTCGAAACCATTTTCAGTAAACTTAGTTACCTAAAGACGTAAAAGTGTTAATATGCATAGTAAAATTAACGATAATTTTTGGTAAAAATTACTTCAGTCAAGAAGTGTTTTGTTACTTATTTTCTGAATACAGATAGCTATTAAAATACAGTATTAATCGTATATAAATAAAACTTTTATACGTTATCAATATAAATATTAAATGGCAATACGCGTTTTCTAATATCCTATCTTATCTCAGTTCACGATATTTTCTCATTATTTGTTGTTAAGACGCAAAGCTACACAATGGGCATTCTGTACTGTGCCCACCACGAGTATGAAAAGTTAGTTTTTAGCGTTATAAGCTTTCAGACTTCCCGCTGAGGTATGGGAAGAGGACAGTATTTTCTCAAACAGTGTCATATAGATAAAAGAAAAAAAAATAAAGATCGGCTCCTGATATAAACAAGAATAGCTCAGAGCGCATGTCAACCGTGAAGAACGACAGAAGCCTTGGAAGAAGTCACCAGAGGGTATGACCATCGGATTAAAAAACAAAACAAAAAGACCAAACGTTTAAATTTGTCTGAGTCTTCATTAGATCCTTAGTGGGATACATGTTATCCGTTTTTTTATTTTATTTAGTACTGGAATGACATGTTACGCTAGTCAACAATAACTGCTCTTGAGGCTTTGGGAAGATTATTTTGCCTTTTGGAAAGGTCATAAAATATCTTGTTTGGAATAGAAACGAATGTATTAAATCAAAGAAAAAAATTAGGCAAAGACTTGATGAAATGGTATTATAGTCGCCTTCAGTATTCTGAAGTGAAGACAAAGTTTTTTGTTTTTTTTTTAAATGGGCTTTTCTAGCCTAAAACTTGGTTTACTTGAAAGGGATGCATTCAATTACAGACAGGGAAACCACCAGTATTTATTGATGCACTCACTACTCTGTAATTAACCTCTGTATTCTAGATGACGCAGTAAACTTCTTGAGATAGTATTTATTTGTTTTTGAATTTCACGCAAAGTGAAATCGAGATCTGTCTGCGCTAGCCGCTGTTAATTTTAAAGTGATAGACTAGAGAGGGAAAGGCAGCTAGTCAAAAACAACCACCGCCAACTCTTGGACTACTCTTTATCAACGAATAGTGGAACTATCCGTCACATTATAACCCTCCCACGGCTGAAAGGGCAAGCATGTTCGGGACAGGATTCGAACCCACGGCCCTTAGATTGCGAGGCGAGTGCCTTAACCACCGGGTCATGCCAAGCCCTTGAGATAGTAAAACATGATAATTACAAACATGAGAAAAATAAAAACAAGTACGACCCCAGAAAAGAAACCTGATAAAATAAGGTAAAAATAATAAAATTATCATTTACCTAGCTTTATTTATACCTTGTTTATTTTTTGTTGTACGCAAAGATACACGATGGGTTATCTGTTCTGTGCCCATCGCTGGAACCAAACCCCTAAAGTTTATCGCTCAGCCTCCGAGGCCTAGTATTGTTAGTTTTTGTGTTTTTTTATCATTATATCATCGGTTTCTAACTAAAAAAATTAAGTGTGAAAATTACCACAGCAATATTATCATTTAATAGAACACGTAGTGTCACAGATGTCACAACTACCCCAAATTTGGGTTTAATATTTTATGGAAATTATCGATTTAATTTACTCGATAATTTCCATAAAATATTAAATTTTTAGGCTTTTGTTTGTCCTCCTGCAAAACTAAATAATAAGGTATCTGCGCTCTATCCACTGCGGGGGAATCGAACCACGGATCGTAGCGTTAGTCAGTAAGCATATCGCTGACCCAGGGGACAAAGTTTTGGTGTTGCTAATATTTTGATCATAAACTGAGCTTGTCCAAAAAAAAATGTTTTTCAATAAATACTTCACACTTACTTGATTCTCTGTTGACAGAAGTTAGTACTGTAGAGGGCGCTGAAGTAACTGGACTTTGGGACTGAGTGGGGAAAACTACAGGGACGTCCTCTGGTGGTGCATTACGAGTTGCAACTGTGGATCCAAGTGCAGCTAGAGCTAAAATGGTCGACATATCCTTAAAGAAACATTTTAAAAATGTTATGAAAGATATCTACGGACATGCGCAACAGAACTCAATTTTGGGTTTATAAAAATATATATATATATATAATCAGTGTAACGTCGATTAACAAATATTATCATGAAAAGCTTGGTATTTTAATATATAATTGTACGAGTTTTATATTTTCTCTTCATAACTTATGGTACTCATTTGTACAAAAAGACCAACAAGAAAACGGAAAAAATCATTAACCTTCGTGTTTTTCAGAAGGACAATAAATTAACTAACACAAACTTTCTATTTCTGCTTTATTAAATATATTTATATTATTTCAACAGAATAACGCTGTTTTGTTTTCTGTGAGATATATCAATTACGATTTTATATTTCATTAATCCGTCATTTAATTGAATTTATTAGTATTTCAGGGTGTCATTTGATACGCTGTTCTGTCGATCACTAATAAGACCTGTTGTGTCACAAACTGCTGTATTTAAGACGTCTTGTGTCACAAGTTTGTTTGTTTGTTTTGAATTTTGCGCAAAGTTACGCGAGGGCTATCTGCGCTAGCCGTCCCTAATTTAGCAGTGTAAGACTAGAGGGAAGGCAGCTAGTCATCATCACCCACCGTCAACGCTTGAGCGAATAGTGGGATTGACCGTCACATTTTAACGCCTCCATATTTGGTGTGACGGGGATTCTAACCCCCGACTTTCAGATTGCGAGACAAGCGCCTAACCACCAGGCCATGCCGCTCCCACATACTAGCAAAATTGCCGAGTTTAAGATACCTTGTGTCACAAATAAAGCTGCTGAACGTAATAATTAACAATAATACATTTTATTGATGAACCAGCCCTAAATTTACAATCTTGCCGTTATCAGTCGCGCAAAGTATGATATTCAGAACCACAGCAATAACGGAATAACTTAAGACAGAAGAGTTGAATGTTTTTTAATAAGCTGCCGATGTATTAATTAAACCTTTCTTAACACGTGTGTGTTTGATTCTTAAAGATAAGTTAACAAATAAAATCTTTCTTTCTTTTCATTTACCAGAGCGACATCTACTTAGTTCCATCTCACTTTTTCTATGGTTATAATGGACAGATTACGTAACAAGTGATCACATTAATGTCCATTTCAAATATTTAGAAAATATTATAAGTGACGTGTCCGCTCTAGATAAAAACAAACTCATGTTGACATTTGTGGTTTTTCAACAATAAAATAATTCTTACCCTAGAGTTTTGTATATTCATCACGCTATTTGGCGACATATATGAAAAGTTTGTTAAGTTGTCCGGAATTTTAGATCGAAGAGATTCGTCCGGATTTTGTGATGTGGTTGATTGGTGACTCACTTTCTTTACGCTAGGTGCCGCACCTGAAGTGACTGTAGAATATGAGGTGTGATTCTCAGAAGATGTCTTTTCTGTCGCTAAAGGAGAGTGCTGGCTCAGGATCTCAGAAGTTGGCATGTGTTGCATCATGGAAAGGTAAGAGAACGGTGGCGACGGAAGGGACATGTTTTCTAAAATTTTACCTAAAATTTAAAAGTAAAACACAAAAATTGAAGTAAAACAGCTCTATTTTCCGAGTTATTTTTAAATGTATGTACATAAATCTGTATTCACGTGTCATGAACAAGACCAACCAATGCTTTTTGATCTTAAACAAATGCATACACAAATGTGTTCTCCATTATTGAACTGTTATCAGTTAACAGATTTAATCAACTTCAAAACCTAGAGATCAGGAGAGTGGATGGAGCATTTTGAAGAATCATAAATTAATCCTCAATTGGTCATTTTTAAGTGCTTTAATTAACTAGTAGCGTCATGAAACACTATACTTACATACACATATATTACCGAGTTTCACATAGAAAATGATCTTAAAATTTTGGCTATATAATACGATTTATACAGCATAGTTTACTTATCCCCAGTGTACAAGAAATGTTAGACAGTAGTTTACATATTCGTCATGTAAAACAATACATATCATTTCTGTTTGTGCACAACAAACATATCGTCAAGTTATACATCTATAAGGTATTGTTAATGCAAATATATTACAACTTATAGGTCTATACCGTATGGGTAGTGCAAGCATAACACAGTAACTTATAGGTCTATACTTTTGGAGTAGTGCAAGCATAACACGGTAACTTGTAGGTCTATACTTTAAGGGTAGTGCAAACATAACACTAACTTATAGATCTGTACTTTAGGGGTAGTGCAAACATAACACTAACTTATAGATCTGTACTTTAGGGGTAGTGCAAACATAACACTAACTTATAGATCTGTACTTTAGGGGTAGTGCAAGCATAACACGGTAACTTATAGGTCTATACTTTAGGGGTAGTGCAAACATAACACGGTAACTTGTAGGTCTATACTTTAAAGGTAGTGCAAACATAACACTAACTTATAGATCTGTACTTTAGGGGTAACTTTTATTCTTTCGATGCTACGTTACGCATTATTAATTTTGTTTATTTTTCGGATATTCGGGCAAGGCTACTAGCTGTTCCTAATTTTGAACTAATTAATACGCTAGAGGGAGGCACTGGTCAAACAGCACCTACTGCCAACTCTTGGACTACCCTTATATGATCCAGCACTGGGATTTATCAGTTACTTTTATAACGCAACCAAGGCTCCAAAGTGTAGAGCGGACTTAAAATATTTTTGGCGGTAAATGGACGCGAACAAAAAATCAACACTTCAGCACGCTAACCAGTGGGCCACGCTGGTCCCGCATTACTAATTAATATTATAATTATAGTCACATTAGAGCCAAAATCACTCCTAGACTTGGCGCTATCGTAATGAGATACTATAGAACAACCCCAAAAAATGACTTACTTTGAAAACGTTAATGAACACTAAAATTGGAGTAGCAAACAATGTTTGACTTACGTTAGGCTTAGTTTTCGTGTTGTTTTGATTCGTTTATTTTAACATTTGGTCTTCAATTATAGTGATTTTTGAGACGATAACATGTGAAGAACAATGAAAATAGTTGCAAATCGAAATGGAACCATAGCGTGAAACACACACACAAGAGTTAAACAGAGAGGAAAATCTATCCTTAGAAAAGTTATTTTATACCCGTTTCAAAAATGTATTAATCATTATTCTGTGTTGTATATTCACTAAGACATTGTTCGCTATAGATTCGTGAACAAAATTGGCATTGCAGGTGTAAAGAAGTAATAAACTGAGGTTTCAAAACACCACAGTGAACAGCCAATTGTATAAAGGTGTACAAACTAAACAGTGAACAGCCAATTGTATAAAGGTGTACAAACTAAACAGTGAACAGCCAATTGTATAAAGGTGTACAAACTAAACAGTGAACAGCCAATAGTATAAAGGTGTACAAACT